TCCGGCATTGTGGTGGCGAGGAGGAGTGGAGCAGTGGTGCCGGCGGCAGCAACGACGGCGACGGCATGATCCAATAAAAGAACATGGCGGCGATTTAACACCAAGCAGCAATCGTTCCAGGTGGGGATTGGCCCTGAGACGCGACAACGTGGCGACGCTGCATGGCCGGAGCCAATTGGACAGAGGCCAGCGCAGGAAGTCATTGGACAGTCGCACACTATGGGAGCTTCCCCAGAACGAGCCGCTGCACACACCTGAACATGGCGGCGATTTAACACCAAGCAGCAATCGTTCCAGGCAGGGATTGGCCCTGAGACGCGACAACGCGGCGACGCTGCATGGCCGGAGCCAACTGGACAGAGACCAGCGCAGGAACTTGTCGCACAGTCGCAGACTATGGGAGCTTCCCCAGAAGGAGCCGCTGCAGAGCCCGCCGAGACAAGATTCCACCATAAGGAAAAAGAACACACATACCGGCGGGGTGCCTAGTAGGCACCCACCTCCCTATATATATATACATTGTATGTGGCCCTAGTTAGGAAATGTAATATGCTTGTAAACCACTCAGAACCTCCGGGATTGAGCGGTATAGAAATTGAAAGTATAAATAAATAAATAAATATAAGCTGTGTGGTAGGTGTGATGGAGGTTCGTTTCCTTCTGCCGTGAGACTGCTTTTGCACCTACGCACTAAATGACATTGACTCTCTCCCAGATTCATGGGTGGCTGGGTCAGGTAACCAAAGAATTCCGGGAGAGGGGAACAGGCCCATAGCCAGAAAAAAAATGTTACGGGGGGGGGGGACACAAGAGGGAAATTAGGTGCCGGGAGGCGGGAGGAAACTGGCTCAGACCCGCTTCCCCGCTCCTGCTCAGCTCACCTTGGCGACAAAGGGCTCCACTGCAGTGGCGGCATCGTCTCCAGGGGTGCTCATGCCCTCGCTTCGAAGTCGTGGCGGAGCCGGGAGCAGGGGCTATTTGGGGCTGGCTGGGGCTGGAGTGCCCCATCGGCTTTCTCCATCTTGGCCCCGGTCACATGGCAAAGTTGCCATGGGAGAGGCACGGATGGTGGGCGGATTATCCAGGCACGATCACACCCCAACATCTCTGGGAAGTGGAGCGCACCCGTAGCTTACCTCCGACAATGCGAGTTAAAAAAATTGTACCTCCAAGGTACTAGTAAACGTTTGCCACGGGCTGCCTCCCGACGCCCATGGTGTGATCGTGCCGGCGCGTGGCATTCCCCTCCAGTCCCTCGTTTACCTGCCGGCGCCGAGGGAAGGACCCGTGGTGTGCTGCCGGTATGTCTGATCGCATAATCACGCATCAAACTGTGCCAGGGCAATTAGCCACACCTCCCCCCGCGATATCTGGCCCGTGTGACCGGGGCCCTTGTCTTTCTTTCTCCGGCCTGCCCTCCGCTTCTTCCAGCTGCCGGGGCTCTTCCTTGGCAGGATGGTGCTGGCCACTCCACCCGCGCTCGAGGCTCGCACAGCTTCTTGGAGCGCCTGGTTGGGAGGAAAGGCAAACATTCGGGGGGGGGAACCATGGACAGGGGAAGCCTGAGAGAGGATGCTGGCGGAAGTCTCTGTTTGTTGCAGGAGCACCTTTGCATATCAGGCGACACACCCCTGATGTAGCCAATCCTCCAAGAGCTGACAGTAGCCCCTGTAAGCAAGCTGTGGAAGCTCTTGGAGGATTGTCTACCTGAGAAGTGTGTTGCCTGATATGCAAAGGAGTTCCTGCTACAAAAAGAGCCCTCCTGAAGCGACTTGTCCCCTGGCCAGGTGGGCAAAAGTGGTGCAACCTGAGCATGAGAGGCCGGCCTTGGGCTCCGTTTCCCACAGTGGGCAGCCAGGCCTCAAGCACCTCCCACTCATGTAGGCAACCCAGGCCAGGCCGACCTTTGTCCCTCCCTCCATGGTGGCTCTGCCTGTGCCAGATGTGGCCTCCCACGCCCACCTCCAGCCTGCCTCCCCTGCTTCTCCCTTAGTGAGGGGGCAGGGCACATTCATGAGGGGGGCATCGCCCTCAGGAGCCCCCCCATGACTGCAGGCCTGGAGGGGAATCATGACTCCCACAAAGCTGTGCGAAAATAGGCATGAGCAAAACAATGGTGGTAACACGAACTCTGATGAAACCAAACAGTTCATTTAATTGGGGAAAAAACCCATAGTGTTTATACATGACTGACCTACAGGTGTGTTCGTTATTTATTTAAACAATTGGCTGTGGAATGACATGCGATGACAACAGATTTTGGGGGACGGGACAAGGACTCCCATTGCGCTGTGCAAGAATGCAGATGCATGAAATGCCGCCAGTTGCATTCGGCCACACAGTTTGAATACGGCCAAACTGGCTCCAGCTGCTTACGAGCAGTCGAACTGCCCTACAACCAATCCCTCTGTTTGGTGAGCAGAATGCGGGCTAAACCAGCAGGTTCCCATGTACCCCTAGTCC